AGGACCTGGAAAGGCTCGGTTTCAGTCGAACCCCCTCTGGTCCAGAGTTCGCGTGCAGCTTCAAAAGAATGGCTTAGGTACCCGTCTTTTGGGCCCTTCGCCAAATGGCTCGTTTCTCGGCAGCCGCCTTACGTAGCTCTTGAGCAGCTGGAGTGTCCTTGAGCGACCACACTCCAGACGTCATCAGCTCGACAAGAACTTTGTTGTGGCTCCACTTCGTGAGCCCGTCACATGGCATATGAGCCCCCGGCACCCACCGCACCAGGTTGTTGCTGTCTTCACTCAGCAGGCCTTGGCGCAAGACGGCCACGTCGATCGCGATCTTTCGATCTGCCGGCAGCGTCTCAGCACTGAGAGCATCGTAGCCGGTACGGGCATCGGTGACCAATATGTGGGGCCACTTGGAAGCACAGACCTTCCACTTGGAGATATTGAAAGTAGGGTCCACGAGCTCACAGAACACCGCCCTCACATAGTCACCGTGCTCAAAAGCCGTGGCCAAGCTGGAGACCTCTGCTGACATCGAGCACCGCACCACTCGATGTATCTTGTTGCTCGTCCCCTCTAGGATGCAAGCCGGAGCATCGCCATGGAGGATCTCAGGAGAGGCCAGCATAATCAGGATGCCCCCTTGACTAGCACCTCCAGGCATTGCCCCGAACGCGGCATTTCTGACCGACAAAACCACGAGGTCCTCGAGGCCGCACCCCAAATTGGGAATGCGAGTCACTACATCCTCTTGGGCTCGACGAACGCCTTGAGCCAACCATCGTAGAGCATCAAGTCGCCCACGGCCTGCCATCTGTTGCACCAGCGAGGCCACGTAGCACAGGTCGTAGCGACTTTGTCGAGCTGCCCAATTCAATTGACCCACGATCGAGCCAATCAACTTGCGATCGCCTTCGCCCAGTTCATCAGCCTGGTCTGCGGCACTGATCCGCTCCTCGAGGTATCGAATGACTTCCTCGTGACCGGCCCCCTCCCCACCTGTGTCTTGCTCATCTAAGCATGACCCCTGTGGTGTGTCAGTGGATCTCGCTCTGGACTCCGATGACCCAGATGGTGTGTCGGTGGATCTCGCTCTGGACTCCGAGGACCTTGATGGTGTGTTGCTGGATCTCGTCGTGGACTCCGATGACCTTTTGCCCTGTAAAGGCACCTTGGGCATTGGGATGGCCTTGGTGTACTCGGTCATCGAGTACTCCATCTCCAGTGTCTCTGGCGACTGGCGTTCCCAGCGCCCACAGAACTTTTGCCACCCATCCGTAGCCTTCCGAAGCTTGCCGAACTTCAAAACCTCGTGTAGCTTCTCCCAGATGCCTCCACTCGTCTCATCCCCGGCATAGCGAGTGTCATCAACGTGTATGCTGGCCATCGCCTTCAATTGCCCCTTCTCATCAAAGGCTCGGAACAGTCCAGGGACCAACACCAACTCCATAAGGCCAAGGCCCTGTATCGTGTCGCGATACTCAAGGTACCACAACCTCGGACTCTCAGGCAAGCCGAAGCCCGCCTTCGTCAGCTCCACCAGATCGGAGCGCATATCCGCACCCAGCCCAGCCAGCAGAAACTCGGTGACCTCCGGCGGATAGCCACTGGGCACCTTCACATAGATCTTCTCAACCCGTGGTAATTCCTTCCCCTGGAGGAAAGCCGCAGACACATCCTCGTAGTGCACCGTCCAGCCCTTCTGCACGGCCACAAAGTTGAGCAGGTTGTGCCCCAGCACGCTGGCCGTCGGGGAGGAAGTCGGGTAGAGACCAGCATCTGGGTCCTTGTGGCCGCCAAAGATCCATCGGGCCTTCAGCTCTGCCTCAGCGAGGTCGGCGCCCCCTTTGTTTGTCAAGACAAACCTCGAAGTAAGCACCCGTGCCGAGTCGACCATTTGGCCTAACGGCACACCGCGGATGCCATTGTGCTCCAGGTAGACGCCCACGGCCTTTTTCAAGGGCTCCACATAAGCCTGCCGCCACTCAGGAGACAGGCTGGCCCACTTGTACTCAATCCGGGCCTTCCCCGTGGTCACCTCCGTGACGCCACCCTGTTCGGCGGTTGCAAGGCAAGCGCTCACCTTGAGTAACTCGTCCGCCTCAGCATGTACAGACGGGGAGGACCACAGAGTCCACTGGCCCATAGTTTCCTGAATGAGCACGTCCAACTCGCCCGGCTTAAAGAACTGATTCGGGAGAGTGACCTCGACGGAGAGCTTGGCGTCCTCGTCAGGTGCCGCACCGCGCGTCGAGGAGACGCCTCCCACTAGTCGTTCTCCTTGGCGCCCAGCAGTTCGTGGCCCTCGTGCTCGGCCGGCCTGGCCCCTGGGTTTGGCCAGAATGGCCTTGCGAACCCTCTTCACTCGCGAGTAAGTGTCCTCCATTTGCTTCCGGAGCTGGGCCTCCTGCAGCGCCGAGGGCGGCTCAAAAGACTTTGAGAGCGACTCGAACAGCTTTTGCTTCTTGGCAAAGTCCAGCTCGTGAGGCTCCATCGCCCCTTCCGTCGCAGCCTGCTGCCGTTCAGCAAATGTCAGCAAAAGAATGCTTCACAGAAAACGGTAAATCATCCAGCAGCTTCTTGCGCTCCTCGCGAGCACGTTCCTTTTCCGGGTCCAACCGCTCCTGCTCCGACTCGGAAGAGGAAGAAGAGCTCGAGTCCTTCGCACCACCCGGGCCGTCCTCGTTCGCCCCGTTGCCCTCCACCGGAGCGTCCTCGACTTTCAGCTGGCCGCCCTCGAGCTCCTTAGTCACGTCCTCCAAGGCCTGGTTGACATAGTCAGCACTGACCATCTCCTCGGTGGTTGCCAGGCGCACCTTCTCCAAGGGATAGGCCTTGACCTTCCCCCGAAGTCGAACCCACATCCGCTGCGGCACCGGGCGATCGCGCTCCACACACACCACCACTCCGGGACCGGTCCAGCTCACATTGTCCTGCATCCGTCTGGCCAGACCCTTTCGCGACGGTGGGGGCTCGTACAGATAGACCACGGCCCCTTCACGAATGCCTTCAAGCTGGGGCGGTCGAGACCGCGAGGCCAAAGCGCGTCTCAAGGCATCGCTCGCATCCAGCCAGTGAAAGGCTTCCAAGGCTCCGATCCTGATGCGCTCCGCCCGGGCCACGGCCTCCTTGTTGGTCGCCGCCTCGTTGTACCGGAAACGCATCCGCCCGCTGGCCAATTGCTCCATGATGGATCCGGGCACCATGCTGTTGCGGCCGGTCACGGCTTGCAGCGGGGAGACACCGCCCTTGTTCAAAGTACGATTCTTGGCCGCGAACGCTGCACCAGCGGCTCGTCTCATCTCGGCGACCCCCTTCAGGTTCAGGCCCTTCACCATCTTCATCATCATCAGCTTGACGATCGCCCCGTGCCTCTCAGCGTGACCAAGACGCCACTTCGCCCCTTCAGGGACAATCTCATGAACCACGGAGAAGAGGTCATTCATCACCTGAACCGACCCCGCGAACTCTGGGCCACCGTCGGTGATGAGGAGGTCGGGGGGCCCGAAAACACTATACCAAACATCCTGCAACACTTCTCTCGCGAAGGTGCTGTCCGGACGGTCAGTGAGGTCGCCCAGGTGATAGTCGGTGAGAGCCCGTCGATGAAGTGGGTCACCGCGAATTTCTGGCCGGCGCTATCCCAAATGAAAAACGTGTCCCCGGAAAGTCTTTCATTAAAGGCCCGCGGTTTGCGATAAGCCACTTGTGGTTGTGCCTGTGGCGGTCTCACCATCGCGCATATTTGGCACCTTAAGCCACGAGCCAAACTCACGATGCCCTCGGCAGCTCCAGTCAACGACAGCATCCGTGCCAGCCGCTCGTTGCTCAAGTGACCCATCGTAACATGGAGATGGGCAACCATGCTACGTAGGCGACGAGGTTGCTGCAAATCGGCACCTGAGAACGTCACGTAATCGTACCGTTCGCCCGTCATGGACTGCTTGGCCAGCTCCTCCCGCAAGTTCTCCTCGGGCACGGACGAGCTGCTCACGGCGACGGCCTCCCACATAGTTCCACAGGTGGCGTTGCAGAGCGACCAATCGTCGCCCAATTGTTGCTCTGAGCTCCAGGCCTTCTCGCACGCCTCCAGAAGGCGTTCGCACCATGCCTTTGGCCAAACTGTTGCACAGACGGCCCTGGCAACCCGTGTGGTTCCCAGCCGGGCGCTTCCTCGAAGAGGTTGGTGCTCGTGAGGTTTGTGTGGGCAATGGGCTTGGCGCATAAGTTCCCGAGCCAGCTTGCCGTCGTTGACATCCACTGCCATCTTGCCATAGTAGGGCTTGCCGTTCTCGGGATCCTGCAAGCCAAACGCACAAAAGCAAACAGTGGCCCTGCACACACCCTCGCGTTCCAACATATAGTTGAGCTGGAACGCCTCGGAGTTCGCCGGCTGGAGCAGCACCACCTTGCGCCCCTGAGCCACCTGAAGCTGCCAAACCTGCAGGGCCCTAGCGCTTTATATTAAAGCAATGCAGTTTGATGAAAAGCAATGAGCCAAAATTAAAGCAATGAGGCAAAATTAAAGCAATGAGCCAAAATTAAAGCAATGAGCCAAAATTAAAGCAACGAGTGGGTACTCATACAAGAAAAGCAATATTGCTTTTATTAGGCCCTCTTTC